TAGCCGAATTGACCAAGCAGAAGAACGGATATCAGAGATTGAAGATCAACTCAATGAAATAAAACGAGAAGGCAAGATTAGAGAAAAAAGAGTGAAAAGAAATGAACAAAGCCTCCAAGAAATATGGGATTATGTGAAAAGACCTAATCTACATTTGATAGGTGTAACTGAATGTGACAGAGAGAATGAATTGAAGCTGGAAAACACTCATCAGGATATTATCCAGGAGAACTTCCTGAACCTAGCAAGGCAGGCCAACATTCAAGTCCAGGAAATAAAACACCACAAAGAGATTCCTCAAGAAGAGCAACCCAAAGGCACATAATCATCAGATTCACTAGGGTTGAAATGAAGGAAAAAATGCTAAGGGCAGCAAGAGAGAAAGGTCAGGTTACCCACAAAGGGAATCCCATAAGACTAACAGAGGATCTCTCTGCAGAAATACTACAAGCCAGAAGAGAGTGGGGCCAATATTAAACACCTTAAAGAAAAGAAATTTCAACCTAGAATTTCATATCCAGCCAAACTAAGCTTTGTAAGTAAAGGAGAAAGAAAATCCTTTATGAACAAGCAATTGCTGATATATTTCATCACCAGGCCTGCCTTACAAGAGCTCCTGAAGGAAGCACTAAACACAGAAAGGAACAACCAGTACCAGCCACTCCAAAAATGTACCAAATGGAAAAGAGCATCGACACAATGAAGAAACTGTGTCAACTAATGGGCAAAACAACCAGCTAGCATCAAAATAGCAGGATCAAATTCACACATAACAATATTAACCTTAAATGTAAATGGGCTAAATGCCCTAATCAAAAGACACAGACTGGCAAATTGGATAAAAAGTCAAAACCCATCAGTGTGCTGTATCCAGGAAATCCATCTCATGTGCAAGGACACACATAGGCTCAAAATAAAGGGATGGAGGAAGATTTACCAAGCAAATGGAAAGCAAAAAAAAAAAAAAAAAGAAAAGCAGGAGTTGCAATCCTAGTCTCTGATAAAATAGACTTTAAACCAACAAAGGTCGAAAGAAACAAAGAAGGGCATTGCATAATGGTAAAAGGATCAATTTAACAAGAAGAGCTAACAATCCTAAATATATATGCATCCGATACAGGAGCACCCAGATACATAAAGCAAGTTCTTAACAACCTACAAACTTAGACTCCCACACGATAATAGTGGGATACTTTAACACTCTACTGTCAATATTAGACAGATCAATGAGACAGAAAATTAACAAGGATATCCAGGACTTGAAATCAGATTTGGATCAAGCAAATCTAATAGACATCTACAGAATGCTCCACCCAAAATCCACAGACTATACATTCTTCTGAGCACCACATCACACTTACTCTAAAATTGACTACATAATTGGAAGTAAATCACTCCTCAGCAAATGGAAAAAAATGGATATCATAACAAACAGTCTCTCAGACCACAGTGCAATCAAATTAGAAGTCAGGATTAAGAAACTAACTCAGAACTGCACAACTTCATGGAAACTGAACAACTGGCTCTTGAATGTTGACTGGATAAACAATGAAATGAGGCAGAAATACAGATGTTCTTCGAAACCAATTAGAACAAATACACAACATACCAGAATCTCTGGGACACATTTAAAGCACTGTCTAGAGGGAAATGTATAGCAACAAATGCCCACATGGGAAGCAAGGAAAGATCTAAAATCAACACCCTATTATCAAAATTGAAGGAGCTAGGGGAGAAAGATCAAAAAAACTCAAAAGCTAGTAGAAGACAAAAAATAACTAAGATAAGAGCAGAAATGATGGAGATAGAGACACAAAAAAAAAACCTTCAAAAAATCAATCCAGGAGCTGTTTTTTTTGAAAAGATCAACAAAATAGATAGACCACTAGCCAGATTAATAAAAAAGAAAAGAGAGAAGAATCAAATAGATGCAATAAAAAGCAATAAAGGGGGTATCACCAGTGAGTCCACAGAAATACAAACTACCATCAGAGATTACTACAAACAACTCTATGCACATAAACCAGTAAACCTGGAAGAAATGGATAAATTCCTGGACACTTGCACCCTCCCAAGCCTAATCCAGGAAGAAGTAGAAATCCTGAATAGACTAATAACAAGGGCTGAAGTTGAGACAGCAATTAATAGCCTACCAACCAAAAAAAGCCCAGGTCCAGATGGGTTCACAGCCAAATTCTACCAGACATACAAAGAGGAGCTGGTACCACTCCTTTTGAAACTATTGGGAATCCTTCCCAAATCATTTTATGAGATCAACATCATCCTGATACTAAAACCCAGCAGAGACTCAGCAAGAAAAGAAAACTCCAGGCCAATATCCATGATGAACATAGATGCAAAAATCTTCAATAAAATACTGGCAACCAATTGCAACAGGAGGATCACTTGAAGCTGGGAGTTTGAGACTAGACTGGGCAACACAGCTAGACCCTGTCTCCACAAAAAAATTTAAAAATAGAAATTAGTTGAGCATCTTCGTATTCACCTGTGGTCCTAGATACTTGGGAGGCTGAGGCAGGAGGACTGCTTCAGCCCAAGAGTTTGAGGCTGCAGTGGGCAATGACCATGCCACTGCACTCCATCCTGGGTGATAAAGACCCTATATTTAAAAAAAAAAAAAAGGATAAATTTCATTTAATGCCCCCAATAATCTGCGAGGTAAATATTGTGGCAGAGAAATTAGGTAATTTGCCCAAGGTCATGTGACTTTGAAATACCTGAAGTTGATGTGAACTACTTTTGACCACCACAATCCTACCTGCCTTTGTAGAACCTTCTTTTCTTTGATATTTTTCAACTTAAGCTAGGCTTGATGTAAACAAAAGATGCCAAATTATTTTAAGGGCAGCATATGTTAAATTCCTAACAATATACAGATAACATGATATCAAAATTGTATGCTCCTCAGCCTCCGTATCTGTTAGCAGTCCATTAAGTCATAAATTGACAACAAAAACAATTTCCTTTGTGTTTGGACAAATTTAAAACAAATAGGAAGACACTGAGGGGAACAGTAAGCTTTTTTTTTTCCTTACTTGATTTGTAGACCTTTCTAAATCTATACATAGAATTCAGATTAAGTTGAATGCCTAATATTTATTGGGAGTTACTGGTGTTGGAAATATAGCTGTGAAGGCAATAGGCAAGACGTCTGTTTCAGTATGTTTATATTCTAGAGTGGGAGAGACTGCTAATAAACATACATGAGTAATTTCTAGTGGTGACTAGTATTATGAATACTATAAAATGGTAATACAATAGTAATTGAGGTTTAGGGTGGAGAATTTGGCTTTTTTAGATTGGGTGATCAAAGAAGGCTTTTTTTGGGGAGGTGACAGTTGAGCTAAGATCTCAATGATGGTTATAGCTAGCTCTGGGGGCAAATCCTTCTAAGCAGTGGATGAGCACCAAGATATGAGCTTTGAATATTTTAGGAACAGACAAAAAGCTGAGTTTAATGAAAATGAGGAGAGTCATCAGAATCAATGTTAAAGGTGAAAGCAGGGACCAGATCATACAGGGTCTTAAAGACCAATGTAAAGAGTTTGGATTTTAAGTGAAATAGGAGTTATAGAGGGCTGAGAGCAGGGGAGTCACATGGTCTGATTACATTTTTAGAACATTCTGGTTGTTGTGAGGATTGAATATATTTTGGAATGGGAGCTAATGGAATGGTGAATTGGATTTATGGGGTAAGGGAGAGATGAATCAAAGAAGTTTTTTAGGTTTTTGCTTTAACAGTTAGATGGATGGTGAGACCATTTACCAAGATGGGAGAGAAATGAGAGGGGAATAAGGTGGGAGCAGATGGGGAAATGGATGGAAGTTGTTTTTGGCCATGTTCATTTTGGGAAGCCTATTAGACATCCATATGAAGATACTTTGATGGTTAATACGGAGTGTCAACTTGATTGGATTGAAGAATGCAAAGTATTTCTTCTGGGTGTGTCTGTGATGGTTCTGCCAAAGGAGATTAACATTCGAGTCAGTGGAGTGGGAGAGGCAGGCCATACCTCAACCTGGGTGGGCATCATCTAATCAGCAGCAGCTAGAATAAAGCAAGCAGGAGATGGAAGTTCAGACCTGCTGGGTCTTCCAGCCTTCATCTCTCTCACTTGCTGGATGCTTCCTGCCCTCGAACATCGGATTCCAAGTTCTTCAGCTTTTGGACTCTTGGACTTACATCAGTGATTTGCCAGGGGTTCTCAGGCCTTTGGCCACAGACTGAAGGCTGCACTGTCAGCTTCCCTACTTCTGGGGTTTTGGGACTCAGACCGGCTTCCTTTGCACCTCAGCTTGCAGATGGCCTATTGTGGGACTTCACCTTATCACGTGAGTCAATACTTCTTAATAAACTCCTCTTCATATATACATTTTTCCTATTAGTTTTGTCCCTCTGGGGAACCCTGACTAATATAGATGTCAAATTGGCAAATGGGATATGAGAATGACTCCTAAACCAATGGTATTCCATGGAATCACCTAGGGATAAAGTGTTACATGTGAAGAAAAGGCGGCCAGTGACTAAGTACTGAGAAGACCTTAGTTTTCACAGATTAAGCAGTCGGGGAGGAGTGGGTAAAGGAGGCTGAGAAGGAGCATCCAATGAAGATGGAGGACAAAGAAAACTTTTTTGGTAATTTTTTAAAAAGTTGTAAGAAGGAGGATTTTAAAAATGAGGGAGTCATTTGTTCTGGATAATACAGAAAGGTAGGTAGGATAAAAAAAGATATGAAGCTTATTGATAATTTTGACAACAGTGGTGAATAAGAAGTGGAGTGACTAAGACTAACGACCATTTGGAAATTATTATAGAAAGAATGGTAAGGGTGGAAATATCAACAGTGACTAAAGATAAACCTTCCAAGAATTTTGACAGTGAATTATAACATTGACCAGATAAGATTCTGGAATCAAGGGGAGTTTATCTATCTATCTATCTATCTATCTATCTATCTATCTATCTAACTATCTATCTATTCTTCATTCACATACTTAGCATATGCAATTTTAATCAACCAAAAGAAAATCCCAAATGTACAAGTGAAAAAAATCCAAACTGTTGACACAAGCTTAATTAATATTAGCTACTTTTATGTACAGCTGTATAAGTTCAAAAAAGCTATCCTATATGTATATACAAAAGTTGTTTATACACAGGTCTGTACATAAGGGTCTATACATTTATTTCCTCAGAACCGTTAGGTGCCACCTCTTGGTGAGGACACCAACACTTCATTCACATATCTTACAAAAAGAAAAAACATTTCCAGGATTGACAACATTGTGCATTCTGTATTCAGACAATGTACACTCCTCTTGACTGGTTAAGTTCCTTCCATCATAATGTGGACCACACCAGGTTCATGGGTTCCCCCAAGCAACTTCACACAGAGTGCTCCAAAGTAAAAGCCCATAAACCAACCCAAGATGAGGAAACAGAGTCCTGCCCAGGGTGCCACCACAGGTCCAGGCTTAGTTGAATCTGTGTGCCCTGCTCACTGTCAGTATTCCAATTCATCTACACTGACAACTTTGGTGAGCACGGAGGGCAGGGATTGCTGTAGCACACCTGAGCCAAACCATTAGGCGAGTCCCATGGGGGAGCTGCTCCTCTGGTTGGAGCAATGCTTCAGCTGGGAGTGCATGTGCGGCAGGCCTAACCAGCTGGGCATGTTCTGAGTGGTTGTCTGAATGGTGACAACTGCTGCCTAGGAACCAGAGCCTAGAGGATGCAGAAATCAGTGCTGTAGCTGCTGTTGCACCATTGCCAGATGCAAAGGTATTCCAGGACGAGGGTTTAAGAGACAGTGACTAGCAGCAGGTAAAGAAAGTGTAAAAGGGCTGACCCAGGATAGGGCCACATATTCCCTGTAAATGAGTCAAGTCCATCACAGGAGGAAGCACATCAGCTTGGAGCAAACTTGGAAGATGCTGTGGATGTACTCCCTGGGCCAGCATCCTCTGTACCAACGTGGGTGAAGCTGGTGAGCAGGCCAAACTATAGGGACAAGTGGGACAAGGGGAACTTGGTTGACAGGGCGGAGAAAAGGTGTTGTGGGAACTGGGGATACCAAGGTGGGTGTTTTTCTCCCAGTTGCTTTAGGTCAATAATCTTGTTCTTTGGTGTAATGGTTGGTCTGGGACAGTGGCGTGGAACACAAAGACCTCTGTAATGCTGACAATTTTGAATTTGTAGTGGGAGAAGAGTCTCAATCAGCAACTGGGTACAGAGCTGGATGACAGGAGATTCTCTTCACTGTCCTTCTGCGTATCCTCTTTACTGTCACCAAGAGCTGCTTTTTCAGATGCCGGCTCCTTCTTGCTTTCCTCTTTGCTCTTGTACATCTTACAAATCACTGAGGTAAGGGTACAGAAAGGAGAAAGCATGCTTGTGATGGAGGCAGCAGGGGTGGGGAAGAGGAATTCCCTCGATGCACTGGTGCTGCTGTCTTGGTCATTGGCTGTTTCTGAATTCATCTCTGGTTCTGTCCGCCTGTGGTTTGCCAAAACTAGGCTGGTAGAAGTTTGCTGTCTGTACAGCAAGGTCATGTGGTAAGACCAGCCCCTCTAAAGTTCCCTGTTGCAACTCCAGCTGGCTCATCTGGGCCATGAAGGGTCTCATGGGTTTACGCATGCCTTGGAATGGATCTCTGAGTAGCTGCTGTGGTCCTGGTGTAAAACCAATTGGTGATGGTATTCTTGGACGAAGGTAGTCTGCTGAGGCTGCTCAAGTTTGAAACACCTGTGACAAGGGAGAAGAGGGTGCTCTTTGGCCCAGTAAAGATGTTGTAGGTTTCACACTCCCCAAAATGCCACTCAGAAGATTGGAAGAAGTAGGTCTCTGAACTGGTTGACCCAGAAGTTCCTGCAGGATATTCTTAGGGACAGGCTAGCTTGGAATCTCAGCAGGGGACATCATATGGCTTTCAGGGTTTAGGCTGACTTTGGGCTGAGAAGGCAAAGTCCCACTTGCCTTCATCATGTTCACCAGCTTGTTGAACGCAGTCATGTCTCCATCTTTCTTGAGTTGCCGATTGTTGGTTATAGCACTCAAGGTCTCTTCTAGGTGTTCTGCCATAAAGGGAGTTGAATTCTTCACTTGCTGGTCCACCTTCAAGCCCTTCAGTCCTGATTCTATCTCCTCCGCTGAAAGCACAACCCCTGAATGTGAGCTTTCTTTAAGTTTTTATTTGCAGAAAGGCTGGAAAGAAGAGTTTTCAAATCCACTGTGGCTTTCTGTAGCATTTCTAAAATATCCACTTTATTTTCAGTATGGTCTTCCAATGGTATAGGAGCAAAGTAATTCCCCAAGTTCTGTCCAGGAAAGAGACTTGCTCCAGACCTGCAAGTCTCTGCAGCTCTTCATGTGGTGTTGACCCAAGACTGCTGGATCAGCTTCCTGATCTGTTCCGGTTAGAGAACCACCTACTGAACTAACTGGCAGAGACTGACTCTTCTCCCAAAACATATTCTATCATCGAAGCCAAGCATGACACCTTATCAAGGTTAAATAACTCATTAAAGTCAAATTCTCCTGGGGACTGCTCAGGCAAGATGGCATTCCTTGGCACTTCTTGATCAGCCACAGACTCCTGTGCAAGGATGACCTCTACCTCATCCTCTTCAGCCACACCTCCATTGCACTCTACTATACCTTCCTTCACAGAGGCTGTCCATCGCCTTATTCTTTTTCTCCCTTTGTGATCTTCTTCTAGCATGTTATCACTGAAGCCAGTCAGTTTGATGGTTTCAGACTGACTTGTGGGTCCAGCTGAGAACCATTCTGGTTCTCTCCTGTGTAAGAATAATTTCTTCTATGCTCACCAAGGACATGCTTACTGTCCCCAAACTCTCTCCTGAAACGATTGTCCTTGAAGTCCCTCTCTCTGTTTCTTGTCTCTCAAGTACCTCAGGGCTTTATCGCTAAGATGGTGATCCTTCTCAAAGGTCCAGGCAGAGATTATCCTCCCACTGCCAATCCTACCTCCACCAAGCAGACAAAGCCCATCACTGTCTTTTTCTAACGGACTTCCTGAGCACCAGAAGCTAATTCTAACGGACTTCCTGAGCACCAGGAGCTAACAGCAGCTGTCACGTGGCAGCCCCCTCCAAAGCTCCATCTCTGAGAGCTGAGAACAACATCTAAGTCATTTTCTTTCACATTCTCTGGTGGATCTACTATCCTGCACACCAGGGAAGGCCGGTCTGTATCTAACTCTTTCTTCAGACTTTCCACTGGTGAGCTCTGCTGAAGCTGGGCAAAGAGAGGCATGCCACTTCTCAGAGTCCCCGTCACCATCACTGTCATATTTTTCAGAAAGGCAAGAAGGCCTCCGTTTAGAATGGGGGAGTTCTTTTACATGCAAGAGTTCTTCTTTTGTATGGCGATGGGGGCATTTGCAGGCAGCAGCTTCTTCAGGTCAAGCAAAGCACTGCCATTTTCTGTTTCACCCACACTTCTCCTATCCATGGCTCCTTGGTCTACAATGCTCTGCACTCGGCGCCCCTTTGCCTCGGCTACCGCTCCCCTCCCCGCCGCCCCCGTGGGTCCCAGCGCGGCTCCCCACAGCCTTCGCTCTGGCGCCCCCACCCGGACTTGCTCCGCTGTCTCTCTTCAGCGGCAGTAACTGCAGCCTGGCCAGGAAGTTTATTTCTTCAAGGGTGCATAGTAGGTAGACAATGGCCTCCAACAACTTCCAGGCCTTAATCTCTGGAACTTCTAATGTATTAAGTTACATGGCAAAATGAAATTAAGGGTGAAGATAGAATTATGGTTGCTAGTCAACTGACTTTAAAATCTGGGATTATTCAGGTGGTCCCAATGATCCTTAAAAGAAGAACATGGAGGCAAAAGAGAGAATCCCAGGGAGATGTGACTATGGAGGAAAGGCAGAGAGATGCACCATTATTTGCTCTGAGAGAAGGACCACCAGCCAAGGAATGTGGGTGGCCTCTTAGAGGCTGGAAAGGGCAAGAGCATAGATTGTTCTCAAGAGCTTCCACAAGGGAATGCAGCCTTGCCAGCCTCTTGATTTTAGCCCAGTGAGACCCAGGTTGCACTTGTATCCTACAGAACTGTAAGATGACAAAGGTTTGTGTGTGTGTCTTTTTAAAGATGCTAAGTTTTTGGAAATTTGTTACAACAATAAAGAGAAAACTAATACAGAGGGAATTACTAGAGCTTATTTGTATGCTGAGGGAGTGATTTAATAAAGAAGAAACTGATTATGCGTGAGAGTATAATGGTAGAAGCAAAACCCTCAAATGAGGAAAAACACAGATAGCAGGACAGCCTTTAAGAGGAGCAGATAACTTCATTTAAAATAAGAAGGCAGAGAGTAGATCCAGATGCAGGAAGATTGGGTAAAGCTGTCTTGGGAAGATAAGCACCTACTCAGCACCTACTCTGAGTGGTGCTGCTTTAGTTAGTGAAGTGTGAAGTCAAGCTCATCAACTGAGAGTGAGGTTGGTATAAGGTGGTACTAGAGGCTTAAAAGATTGACATAAGCTAGTCATTTTGGTATACCAGAGAGCAAGCTTACTAGGATTGCAGAATTGCCAGATAGGATGGACTGCCTAGTTGAGACTGCAGTCATGCATTAAAGTAGGGTTAGGAAGCATGCCATAGTGTTTTTAACTATCCTTCTTTAGCTAAGCAGGTATACACAGAAGAGCCTAACAATTATAAACTTTAGAACTGAAGCTGAGTAAGGAAGTTAGGACATGGAAAGGAAGGATAATGAAAAATTCGTAGGATCAATAGATCAAAAAATAGTTGGAGTGGGGGTATGACAGAAGTGTGCTTAAGAGTTAGGTGGTAGTGTTTTAAAAATGGAATGTTCAGAACTGAGATTTTGAAGATGCACTTACTGATGATGACAAAGTCAAGAGATATCTAGCTGAAGTGGGGGAAAAAGAGGAAAAACATTATTTGGAGTGAGGAGGTCAAGTATTTGAGATGCCAGGAGCCTGGATAAATTATGTTTGTAGACGTTATCACTAAGAACTGGACATAAAGAGGTATGGAGACGAAGAAAGTCAGCTGGGAGTTAAAGTCCTCAGTAAGAGTAACTTGGAAGTACGTTGATAACAGGAACAATGAGTTGCTCTTTGTGGAGAGTAGTATAGTCTGATGGCACTAAAGCCAGTCTGTGGGAAATTCTTCCAATCATAAGACATGTAAAATAAGCAGAGAATTAAGGTTTCACTGGCATTTTACATTCTTTCCTATCAGGAATATATGATACAATGCTAGAGATAAAATTATGAATGGCCAATACATCATTTTTTTTTTGAAGTAGAAGTTTTTTGATGTAAAATTTATCAGAGTTCTTGTGTTTGTGATACATAAACCTATATACCTGTACTACAAATAGTGGATATATCTGCATGTAAAGACATGCACTTTATGCATCAATAAATAATATCAATAATAAAATGCATACAAAATGGCATAGAAATGTGTAATAGAGTAAATGAATAGGGATTCTTTTCCGGATTTTCGTGATATTTGTGGCATTTGTCAATTTGTTAAAATTCATAATTTAAAATAATTTCTCAATTATTCTAAATATTTTTTTTTATGGATTCTTTTTCTTATAGAAAGTCCACCAAATTATATAAGCTTCAGGGACCATAAAATCCAGGTCTGCCCTGGATAGGCCAAAAATCTGGTCTAAGATTACCTATAGGCAATTGAAAATAGAATATTCACTAGCTATATAAAAATAGTTTTACTAAATAGTTAAAAAACAGTTGCAAAAGAGAACCACATCTATTTTTAATATGGATATCAGAATTTTTTTCTAGGTTTTTAATAATAGAAACATTATGTAATATAATGAGCCTTCAAAAACAGCCTATAGAAAATAAAACCAATTTTTAGAGCTCTTTCTTATAGTGTACATCAATATGGGCTTATGATGTAACTCACTGAAGACAGATATAAGATGTAGAGGTCTCTGCTGATCTGGACTTACGGAATAGATTGCAAAGTAACTGGAAATCTGCAAAATGGATGAATTGGACTTCCTATTCAATATAACAGGTTGAACACACATGTTTATCTTTAATTCCTCAAGTAACTTCACTAAAACCAAAGTAAAATGATAAACCAGTAACAACAAAGAGGATGAGCAGTAAGAACAAAATATTGGAAGATGAAAGATTGGAAGCAGACTTTAGCAGAGCAGAGAAACGTAAATTCCAACAACCTACAGGGGACAAAGCCAGTAAGAAGTAATCTTTTTTTGTCTTGCAGAGCCCTGAAAAAAGATTCAGAAATTGAAGGCAGCAGCATATACCTCTGAAACAGTGAAGGATGGGGATGAAAACAGAAAGATTAGTTGAAAACCTACACAATAAACAAATTATCAAATCCCCTCTGCAGGGCTCAGTAGCAAGGAAGCTATCTCTCGTGATCCTGGCAGAGGACTGGAAGTTCACGTTGTACAGATGTTGAATTACAAAAGCCCTGAAACTGGGTACGTCAGATAAAGTATAGGGATTATGTGAAAATCTGCATATTGAGTAATGAGCCTCTGCCAGTCTCCTTTCCCTACTTGGCACCTGAAAACATTGGCAACTGACAATACAAGCAGAAATACAGTTTTACTCAAGGAAAATTATTGAGCCAAAAGAGAAGCTCCACAGATGCTGCATTTGACACATGCCTCCAGAAAAATCCCTGGGGTCAAACAAACACCGGTTCCCTAAATGAGGCTCATCAGTCAACAAGCTCCTCCCTTTCACAGAAGAGCTTTCAGTGAGTGCAGTGAGCTTTTCAATTCTTCAGTCTTAAATATGAATAAACAGCAGACTGATGAGGAAGTGCTCTAACATGAAAGACGAAGACTAAAACCAATTTTAAAAAGTAGGCAATTTGCTTAGGGAGAAAAAAAAATGCTCAATATGAGTCATAAGAACAAGATGCTAGAGAAAAAATATTTAGAGAATAAGAAAGAGATTAGAAATAAACAGTGTCAGAAACAGAAAATTCTATAGAAGAATTTATAGAATTCTTCTTTTGTTTTCTATAATGGCATATAAAGTGAAGGAAATTTCACTGAAGCAGAATAACATGCCAAAGAAATGAAAAAAGAGAAAAGATAAACAATTTGTTAGAGAACGTCTAGCAGTCTAATACCTACTTAACAGGAGTTCCAGAAGGTGGGAACAGAGAAAGTAAAAGGAATGTCTTATCAAAGAAAGAGAATAAGAAAATTTCCCAACTGGAAGGCAGATACCTAATTAAAAGAGTCCATTGAATGCCTAACATAATAATGATAAAAGACCCAATCAGAGCATATCTTCAAGATATTTCAGAGGATCTGGGTAAGAAAATCCAAAAATTTCAAGACAGAAGAAATAATGCAATCAGAATGCCATTGGTCTTCTAAACAGCAACTCTGGAAACTAGAATATAATATAGCAATGCCTTCAAAATTATGAAGGACAATAATTTTTAACCTAGAGTCCTATGCTTCACCAAACTATTAATCAAGTGTGAAGAAGAATTTAACACATTTTCCAATATGTGAGGTCTCTAAGAATGAATGATACTATCTTTAGAATATACTGAGGATATACTTCACTAAAATGAAGGGGAGAAACAAACAAGAGAAAAGTATGGAATTAAGGAAACAAGAAGTCTGCAGAGAAAATGATTCTCAAGATGTTAGAGAAGCATAATCCCAGGATGACCACAAAGCAACAAGCCTTAAAATCAATCCAGATTAAGCCAGGTGCAATGGCTCACGCCTGTAATCTCAGCACTTTGGGAGGCCAAGACCGGCAGATTGCCTGAGCTCAGGAGTTTGAAACCAGCCTGGGCAACACAGTGAAACCTGTCTCTACTAAAATACAGAAAATTAGGTGGGTGTGGCAGTGTGCACCTGTACTCCCAGTTACTTGGGAGGCTGAGGCAGGAGAATTGCTTGAACCCTGGAGGTGGATGTTGCAGTCAGCTGAGATCGTGTCACTGCACTCCAGCCAGGGCGACAGAGTAAGGCTCCATCTCCAAAAAAAAAAAAAGAAAAAAAAAATCAACAACCAGATTAAAGCAGGGGATGAAGGGCTTCAGAAGAGTTGTTTCTCCCTGCTCTCCCCGCAAAAAAGAGAGAATAAGGTAGAACAGAACTAATAGCTTACTCAGTGTGATTAACTTCATTGAAAGGAAGAAAATTTGGGTATAAACTCGGGACTAGTATATAAGAAAAAAGATGATAAAAAAAGAGGCAAGATTAAACTGCAGAAAAATGGTTAAAACAAAAGGAATAGTTGTGCAGCAAGGAAAAACAGTGTAAAAAATGCAATCATAGTACACCACATGACTCAGCTGTGAACAGTATTTGTCTAGTCATAATACTAAAAACATTGAATGTTTATTCAATAAAAATCATGATATAAATATAGTTGGAGTGTAGGAGTATGACAAGTATTTGTGTCATTAGTATATTAGAGCTAAATTCTCTTCTATGATATCTAAAAATGGAAAAATCAAGACATACAATAGCAGATATACACATAAAAAATATGAAG